GTGCGAGCGCCAAAGGCTTCTTTGATTGACTCAATATCGCTTGTGTCCGCAGATGGCTGGGCTGGATGACGATGAAGGAGAAGAAGGTGGAGCCCCCCCGGCCGGAGGGCCAGCACCCCGCCTCGCCCGTGCTCTTCCTCGTCGCCTCGCACCATCTCCGTCAGGTAGAGCATTTTCCTTCTTTCCCAAATGTGTGGGGAATTGTGGTCATAGGCGTGTATGTGGATTTGTGTTTGCTGAGCTTGCAAAACAAGTAGCTAGGATGTGTGTTGACAAACAAATGGTCATCTCTCGTGCCATTCATTCAGGGAACACAGGCGGCCTTAAGGGGTACAATTCATTATTTGCGATATCCTATTAAACCAGTTTTTGTTGTCCGTCAAACACGAAAATAATCATCGGGAATAATGATAATATACTTTGTCTTCGTCCACATTTGCATATTCTCCCAAGTTGGTGTCGCATCAGTGCCTCCGAGTAGAGAGGCTGTCCAGTGGTATGGAAGAGCAGCGTGATCTGCATGATAAATCGATTAATCCACTGATACATTTTCCCAGAAATGACTGTTTTGAGAAGAATTATAGCAACCACATTGTTTGCCCCGTGCGGTGGCTATGTGCGTTATGTTTGTCATAAAAATAGATATCTTGTTGCCGTAAGATTGATTTTATGAAAGATCTGAAGCATCTGAAGAAACTAATTTGTTGTCCAAATTAGTCTCTTTTGTTTGTCGCTGGATGTTTTAAATAGCTGTGAAATGTTTATGCAATACACGAAAATCGCGGCGATCGTGGAATTTGAGCACGGCGCAAACCCGTTTAGTGCGAGGGCGCCTCGGCGTTCTATTGCCTTCCCGTTATGCTTCGGCCGAGGATACTGCGTCGTATCCTTTGCCCTTCCATAGATGGCGGTGCCTAGTCAAGTGCCTCGTCTCCAACTCCCCTCGTGTTTGCTTCTTCCATTCGTACCTAATGTTACGTTGTTGTCATTTGCCTAAGAATCTTATTCGTTATTTTCGAGATTTCTAGCGTCCACCTTACAAGCAGACCATTTTCCTTAATAAGTCTTGTAGCAGCATCCATATCCGTATGCACAATACATTACCAGTAACTGATGAGAAGTTCACTAAATTAGAGTAAGGAAATGCAATTTACTCCAATGGAATAATTGATCTATGGCATGAAGTACAAACAGCACTGCAGTAAGAAGTGAGGATGGCTCATAGCTGACACCACTCAAGGTTGTCTCACTCCCCGTCCGCGGCCGCCCATAGAAGGTGGGTGTGCTGGCGGGACCGAGTGCCCGTGGCCTTGGCGATGCAGAGGATACGAATGTCTTTGTTTGCTCGGCGCCTTGGTGTAGCAGAGAATAGGAAAGTGCGCAATTGCAAGACGGGGGTTTAGTCTGCTTGGTAGCTTGTACCTATTGTGGTACTGGAGGAATAAACTTCGTCTTTAGTGACTGCCAGCTAACCACACCTTGGAGTTATGTGGCCTTGAGCTTAGGCAGCTCGCTCGCAATTGAGCCTCGTCTCTGTTCACGCTGTCTTTGCTCAGTAGCAGACACTGAGTGTGCTGTCAATGCCAGGGTCGACATGGATTTGACACCTGATGAAGAAACAGACGATACCTAAATTTCGTATTAGCAGCTCCTTAATGCTCGTGCATTGCTGTCATTTGCTTTTCATGGTTGCATTTGATCGTCGGCGATTGTCTTGCTCATGGCTTGTTTGCATCACTCAAGAATGCATTTACAGTGCGTATAATTATAATGTATCAAAATCCAGGGTCTGTGCATCGATATTGTAACATAATAATATACGAAACAGAACTACAGTTTTCTGTACGAAAGTCTTGGTATAGTTACGTTATCCTCAGTTATATACATTGATGCCTACAGGCAACACTGAATCTTAATCAACATTTGTGAGTCAGACCTGTTCACTGTGAAACCATTTACTCTGTACGTTTTGAATCATTATGAAATATCTAAAGCATAATGGTTGTACTAAACATCATATGCCTAGATGGATGTAAGCCCTCTGACGGAAAGGGAGAATTAGTGCTTTGGATGAATCATAATATATTGCTTAAAATAAAGAGTCGCATGGCAGAACCGGGAGACAAAGGCATGGGATTGCTGCTTGCCACCGAATAACGTAGACAATTATCAGGCATAACTCCGTGTATCATAACCGCAGCTAGCAGCTTTAATTTTGCCTTTTGATTTTGTTTATCTCTATTTATCTTTACCCTCTGCTTTACCACGTATTTTGTGTGAACATTTAATAATTGTTTTGAGTAACCATGTCCTTTACCCAGCCATTGTCTCCCGGCCGTGAACAAATGATTAACGACATGTTTTCTTGCAGTCGTCTCGAGGTCCCACGCTGCCGGATCCAGAGGACAAGCCGCCTAGCTACGAGCAGATCCTGAAGCTGGACGGGCTTCCTCCGGACTATTACTCAGTCCTTAGCGAAAAGCCGCCCAGGTACGACGCA